GAGAGAGAGAGAGAGAGAGAGAGAGAGAGAGAGAGAGAGAGAGAGAGTTTCTATTTACTTTCTATTTACTTCCATGTCAACATGAGAACAACAAGGAGTTAAATTACACTAAAACTGATAATATTATTATTTAAATTGTTTACTTTTTTAAAATTGATTGTGTCTCTAACATCACTATAATGTAACTGGAAAAGGCTTCAGTCTGTTCTCAACAATCTTTTGGAAAAAGAAAAAAGAAAATAAAAACCAGAAGTGTTTTCATGAGAAGTCAGTTTCCCAAATTTAGAATTTTATTCTTGTTGCTTTGTTCTGGGTTCACGTTCTGCTTGACTGGAACCAGTTCCACCCACCCAGTTATTAAAATTACACTCTGCTGAAATAATTTTTCCTCCACATCAGAGTAGTAAAGGTGAGCGTAACTTTAAAAATGTTACAGGATGACCTGAGGTACCAAACAAATCACAGAAGTTACAAAAATCATAGGCCTTTTCAGCTGCTATCTTTTTTAATTAATTTTCAGATGTCCACGTTTCTCACTGCCTGACAGGATGTTTACTAAGACAGACAGACAAAAAAGCAGAGTGGAAACTAAGCCTCAAAGAGACTGTCACTGTGAAAAACATAAATTATCTTGAAAGTATGCGGGTCACACATCCTCATATTTATGTCTACAGTGCTTTCTCAAAGTGTCTGATGAAAACCTGAACTTATGGAAATCTGTATTTTGTTCTGTTTAGATCCTTGTGTTTCCTGCACTCCCCGGTGTTTTCTTTCTTGTCTGCTCCTGTCTCACTTGTCTCCAGTCTCAATCACTCCATGTGTTCATCATTTTGTCTCATTAGTCTCCCTATAAAATCAGTGTCTCTGTGTTTCTCCTTTGTCCGTGCATTGTGCTTCCAAGCCTGTCATGTTCTTTTCCTTCATTGTTTCCTTACATTTCATGCAAACTTTGCCGGCCTGTCAGCTTTTGTTTTGTTTTTTGTTAAATAAATAGAAACTCTTTATTTTTACCTTGGCGTCTCCTGTGTTTGTCTGCACATGGGTTCAACCCCAAACAACAGATCATGTCAGAAAAAGTTCTGACAAAAAGTTCTTCCTTCCAGTTGTATCATTTTTAAAGAACAGAGTCAACATCCGTCTGTATCCTCAAAGCTTTTGACAAACCTCCACCTCTTAACACAAAAGTGATAAATCAGTCCAGTCTAAATTCTCATTCTGCTGCTTCTAGAAATGTAAAACTTCTAATGACACTTTATGGGTCTGTTCAAAGTCTTCATTTTACACACTTCAAACTGTCTAACAGACCCTTTCTGCTACTTTCACAATCTTTTTTATCACAAGGTTTGATAGAAACCATAGATTATTAGTTAGGTGCTGCACAATACAAAAGTTAAAAACAAACAATTAGGAATTTATAAAACAAACAGTTAAAAATTAAACACAAACAATTAAAACATAGCAAGATTGTCAAAGAACTACTAGGTATCAAAAGTCTGCCTGAATAAAAAGATTTGAAGTCTAGACTTAAAATGCTCAATATCAGTGATGGAGTGCAAGTCCTGAGGTAGATGGTTCCAGAGTCTGGGTGCAACGACAGAAAAGGCCCAGTCACCCCATCGTTTGTAGTTGGACTTTAGGACAGACAGAAGAAAATTATTGGAGCTGATCTGCAGTAAATTTGTGCTGTCATGTGGAAACCTTGTATCTTGAAAAACAAAACCTTTCAGACAAAAAGCATCATACTTTTCAGTTAACTAAATTATGTGGGCACATGTTCACAAGCTAATTTTTTATTATTTCCATTGGTTAGCCATCCATTAAACCCCATTTAGATGTGAAGGGGGAGTTAATTTATACAAAAACATGAAAATGATATGGTAAATGTACTGTACTTATATAGCGCCTTTCTATCTGATCAAGATACTCAAAGCTCTTTACACAATCTGTGCCTCATTTACCCATTCATACAGCACTCTACTAGATCTCTACAAAGCTAATTGAACAAATCATTCTAAAGAGACTAATCAGAGCTTTATCACATTCATACACTGATGGGACACACATCAGAGGCGATGAGGGGTTCAGTGTCTTGCCCAGGGATGCTTGGGCATGCGACTGCTGGTGGATTCAAACCCCCAACTTTTGCATTGGAGGATGACTGCTCTAACCACTCAGCCACAGCCGCCCTGATGATGAAAAATGGAGTTATAGTTTTTTTTTACCCAACAGTAAC